CTCTCTCTCTCTCTCTCTCTCTTTCATCATCATGAGCAGTAATGAAAACATTCTTCTTATAAAGTGTGCATTTTAGAATTCAGGTGAATTTTATTTTTTTAATGAGCAGTTAGTGGGTGCAAAAATATTCAGCTATCTGAATCCTACAAGAGAATAGTGAAATGGTGAAAGGCAGACCACCAGGGCCCATTCCTGAATGGAGATTTCTGTTTTATAATCTGGTGAAGGAACAAGAGTCAGACCTGCTAGCAAAGAACCCTCCCCCACCCTCACCCCCACCATCCCTGACTCCTCCCACACACATTCACACCCACCTCCACCAAAAATAAATTAACTGGAGAACTTTTGCATTAAGACTCATTCTAACCCATTCACAATTTAAATAATTACATTTTTACAAAACTGCATGACATTCACCTCAGTTCTAAAATAAGCAGTTACATAAGTTTTTTTTCTTTTCATTTAAAATATTGCAGTATGAAATACATGAATCGACTGATTTTTTTTTTCTTAAAGAGAATCAATTGCATTTGGATAAGTGGCTAGGATACATATGGGTGAGGAATTAGGCCTTTGTTATTGGCTACTGGTCCTTAACATTTATGCAATTAAAGTTTTATGAGCAAACAGATCTACACACTGATCTTAAACTCTAGTCTTAGTGCTTTTTACAAAGAGGCCCTGAAACACATCAGTGTGACCAGTGAGAGAACTGGGGTCAGTCTCCATAGTTGGGCATTTCAGTCCATGTTTGTATTATCTACACACTTTTAATAGATACTTTTAAATACCACTGTATTTGGCATTACAGACAGAAGTGACTACTTTGCATTAGCAAATGTATTGATTTTACTAAAAATGCAGACAGTGAATGGTAGATAATTGCTGTGAGAAGTAATAGGCACAGATATGAACATTCAAGAATTCTTCTGGTAATGAACTTGTACTATCTATAGGACATTAGCCAGCCCCCTGAGTACACCAGGTTTTTGTTTTTTTATTTACATGCACAAGTAGCCATATTCCCTTTTTCTCATACCTCATTCCTTTTTTAATTAGGAAATATACAAAGGGGAAATACTACAGACTTTTGCATATTGCAGTATATTTTTTCCCTCTTGGATTTCTGGGGTGACTATGTATAACATTGAATAAACAAATATCATTCAACAGTGGATTTAAATTATACAACTGACACCTTGCCTGCCAGTTTGCAGATAGCTGCAACTAATTATTAGCTTGCTTAATGTTGAAATGTATATTTAGTTTTCTAAAGCCCAGAGACCTGGAGAGGGGAGGTGGTTAAAGTAGAGGTAGGTGCATGACACCTCCAACTATGTTCTTCTGTCTCAAGATTGCTTTGGCTATTGTGGACTTTTTATAGTTCCACATAAATTTTAGGGCAGTGGTTCTCAACCTTCCTAATGTCGCTACCCTTTAATACAGTTCCTCATGTTGTGGTGACCCCAAACCATAAAACTATTTTCGTTGCTACTTCATAACTGTAATTTTGCTACTGTTATGAATCATAACGTAAATATCTGATATGCAGGATGTATTTTCATTGTTACAAATTGAACATAATTAAAGCATAGTGGTTAATCACAAAAGCAATATGTAATTATATATGTGTTTTCCGATGGTCTTCGGCGACCCCTGTGAAAGGGTCGTTCGACTCCGAAAGGGGTCGCGACCCACAGGTTGGCGACCCACAGGTTGAGAACCCCTGCTGTAGCAACAGTCCCTCCTGACTTACCCTTGCAACTCGTTCACCCACTTTCCTCAGACATTGTTTTTATTTTAATCTACTTCATTCCTACTCTCACGTGGAAACAGAAAAAGAATGCCCATGTCCTTCTTACAGGGACACAATATTACACTTGTAAATTCTTTCTGCAATTTGCTGATCCGGCCTCGTTTGTTTCCTTAACACCAGTGATTGGCTGATTGACTAATTAAACTATTCATGTATCTACATCACTATTAAGACAAGTGACATCTCAACACTTGCTGCCTTTGGTTTGAATTCATATGTTTAATAAGGACTTTCCTATAACATTTTAAGCTGCGAAGGAGGGGGCAATGAATGGTGAGTACTGATGGAATGAGATAGGTCCTATGTGATACATTTCGAAGCTGCAATGGGGCTAAGGGGCAGACATGCCCGCATGCTAACTAACTTTGACTCGACAGAGAAAGAGCTTCATTAGGAGACTTTATTTCCATATGTCAGGGATTTCTTTTATAGCCTTAAGATCATGTGACCATATGTATACATCACA